TGTGTGTGTGTATTTAGCGGACGGTGTGTGTGTGTGTGTATTTAGCGGACGGTGTGTGTGTGTATTTAGCAGACGGGGTGTGTGTGTGTGTGTGTGTGTGTGTGTATTTAGCGGACGGTGTGTGAGTGTATTTAGCGGACGGTGTGTGAGTGTATTTAGCGGACGGTGTGTGAGTGTATTTAGCGGACGGTGTGTGAGTGTATCATAGTTACATAGCTGAAAAGAGACTTGCGTCCTCAAGATCAGCCTTCCTCACATATGTTTTTGCTGTTGATCCAAAAGAAGGCAAAAAACCTAGTCTGAAGCGCTTCCAATTTTGCCACAAACTAGGAAAAATTTCCTTCTTGATCCCAAAATAGCAGTCACATGTCTCCTTGGATCATGTGTTCAGCAGTCTGTGTGTATGTATTGCATTTGTTGGAGATACTAATAAATATAGACTTAATTTTATCTATTTATATCATAATTTAACATTTGTATCATTGAACTCTCTGTTGTGTTCTTCTTTTAAAACAAAAGTTGTTAATTAGTTCGGACAACTGTACGAGTAGTTTTTTTCTAAACGTAAACCTCAGTATTCAGGTTTAATTGCCATGTTGGCACTTTGAGGAAAAAAAAGTTGGCATGTATTGCGGTTTGGGCACTCTGGATCAAAAAGGTTCGCCTTCACTGCCCTATACTCTACATACCATAAGCACACATATTAGATCCTCTACAATAACACATCCCCTACACACTCCACTCCCTGTGAGCGAACTCATGGGTGGAACATATGTATAAGTGGACTTATGAGTGGGCGTTGTGGGCATACTCACAGTCAGGCCCTGGTGCCCAGACCTTGATCTGTGTAAGTGGCCCCCAAAAAAATGGAGCTGCTTCCAATTCTCCTAGAACATTGAATTTTGTGACCACAGGTGCAAACAGCCTCCAGAGATCCTGTTCCACACCAGACCAGTGGAGCCAAACTGCAGCCCATCATCATCCTCATCTGGTTGTAAGTAGGCAATCTAGTATATTATTAGTGGCACTAATCTATAATTTACCTCACATTAAAGGGACACTATAGTCCCCAGAACCACTTCAGCTTAATGAAGTGGTTCTGGTGTCTTTAGCCGGTCCCTGCAGGCTTTTTAATGTAAACACACACTGTGTGCAGCACTGGCGTTCGTTCGTATGGCAGATCATATGGGTGGGGCACTGTGATGTCACATGGGGGGCAGCAAATTCAGCTGTTCCCCATGCAGCCACAGGTGGCGCTGTGCTGGGAGAATGTGATTACTCTTCACTTCCTCCAAGCCTACAGAGCAGTGCATGGGAGAGAGAGAGGAGGAGGCATGATTTAATCTTACAACAAATCCAGGGGGTGGGGATCAGCTCTGTTTGCACAGTTTATTGGTGTTTACTCTGTCTGTATTAATATTGAGGGATTTCTAAGTAGTAACGTCAGTGTGTGTCAGCAGGGCCAGCCGTTGGGGTATGCACGCTGTGCGGTCACGCAGGGTGCCATGACAACAGAGCCGCCCGGTGGCCAACATAGCTCACAAGTTGGGGACACCATCATATATTTAATTTAAACGATTCGCTGGTGGTCCACTGGTGCGCACCAGCAGTAGGTGCAGTCAGATTATATCCTCTCCCTCGTGGTTCCGGCGCTCAGTTAGTGAGTCGGAGCACAGGCTCAGAGATTCTCAGCCTGCGCTCTGACAATATTGAAAGTCAGAAGCGTGAAGGAGCAGGTCGGGCAAAGAGCTACTGATTAGCATAACATCAATATCCGTTATAAAAGCAGGAAAAGGTGGGCATGGATGGTGAACTGATTTGATGGTGCAATGGGCAACTTGACTGGTTTTGCCCCCCAGGCCTAAAGCTGCCAGCCCTCCCCTGGTGATGCTGCCATGAATTATAGCCAGGAAAAGAAAATTACGGTAAGTATGGAGAAAATTTTCTGTATTGTAAGCCACTTAAATTTCTCAGAACCACCCCCACACCCTAATAATAAACTCTATCCATTTGAAATGTTGGGAGGCATGATCTAGGAGTTAAATGCAACACCTTGCCTGAATCTCTAGTGACAACTAATCCGCCAATGAGTTCCATAGGAAATCAATGAATGTAAGACAGATGGCACTGTGCATGCTCGCGTTCTCTCAGTATGCCTGGGTATGAGATGCCAAAACTTACACTACCTGCTCTCCTATACACCTCTGAAATTTACATTGAATCACTTGTGACGACTGCTGGATTTAGGCAAAAGTTAGGCTTCACCTTTTGTCAACCTCAGACTTACCCATAAGTCAATATAGTCCCTACTCAGTTTTATAGATAGTGTTGACATTTCAGTGAAATTACAATGCAATCAACTTTAGTATTTTTGTATTGACTATATCTTTATGAAATATTAAAAAGTGACAGAGCTCCTCCCAGAGGGATATTGGGCACCATAGGTGCATGCACAGCACTCACGGTAATCTGCCAATGATTCTGTCATAGGAAACCAAGACAAGCCGGCACTGCACATGCTCGCGTCCTCTCAGTATGCCTGGGTCTGAGAGGCCAAAACTTACCCTCCCTGCTCTCCTATACCCCCTCCGCACTCTCCTATATACCCTCCCTGCTCTCCTATATACCCCCGACTCTCCTATATACCCCCCATGCTCTCCTATATACCCTCCCTGCTGTCCTATATACCCCCCATGCTCTCCTATATACCCTCCCTGCTGTCCTATATACCCCCCATGCTCTCCTATATACCCTCCCTGCTGTCCTATATACCCCCCATGCTCTCCTATATACCCTCCGCGCTCTCCTAAAATTTGAAATGGACGTTGAATTTCTGATAATTCACTTTTAAATTAACAACCCTGAAGAACCTCCCAAGGAAAGTAATACGATAGTCATTACAGTAATATTTTCATATGTGAATGTAGCTGTCCACGACTGCGGCGAGTTACACAATTTAGACGATTTCCAACATTCTGACGTAACAAAATGACGTTATAAAGTACGCCATGGAAGTGACGTCACGAAGACCACACCCACCACTGAACGCTGTTCTCCAGAGCGGAAACCAGTTGCCGTAGCAACGACAAAAACGAGGGCGGGACCTAAGTAGTTCAGCCTACCACAGACTTTCACGAGCGTCTACGTCATCCACAAATAGCCCGCCCCTTTCACCAGCCCCTCTGAGCTGTCACTGTCCCTCATTTTACTAGCGGTCCCATCAGGACGCGCTGCGATTGGCTGCAGCTCCTGACAGTCATCGGCTCCTCCAATCAGGGCTTTCCCACGGCAAGTTATTTGCCGGCTCTAGGGTGTCTGTCAGCAGAGTCGCGAGCCTCCCCCCCTCCTCCCACCATTACTTGGCGGCTCGGTTTACCCGTCGCGTCTCACCATCTGCGGACTTTCTCGATGGCCGCCATCACTTTTTTGATATCATCTTTGGCCCGGCTGCGGGTCTCGGCTCTCACTGAGCGGCCTGACATTTTCCTATCGACACCGCTGCTTGACGCCGGCGGTGGGCGTGCCTTTAGTGCATTCCGCTGGTGACGTCACATGGAGCGAATGCACGCTAGCAAGGAGAGGGGGCGTGCCCACACGGTGGGCGTATCATATGCTGTCAATCATTAAATTGCCACGCCTAGTTCTGAGAAATAATGGCGCATGCGCAGTCTGGACTGCTTTAATGACCATTCAAGAAAATTATGTAATTTCTCTTACACCCAGGAATTTATTTACTGCAAAGAAAATCCAATTTCCCAAATATCTTATTAGGAAAAATTCCCATCTTCTGCTTACAGCCTGGTTATATTAGCCTTAGTTTTACAATCCATATTTAATTTGTTAAAATGTGGAGTTTAGTGTACACCTCCCCCATGATTTGTAACTAATTACAATGTAATACAAAGTATCTGCCAGTATAGGTGACTTTGACATTTAGATTTTATTTGGCACAATTTAGAGTTTATTGAATAAACTTGTCACAGAGTTTTTGTCACTTGTGAAATTTTTGCACAAGAAATAGCTAACTAAAGTTTAGCTCTTGGGTTGTACTGTTTTTGTTTTTAATAATCAAAATGTAAATTAATTGGGGATACTAACTGTAACAATGCAACTTCATCATGTAGTGGTTTTGGTGCATATATATATATCTGTCATTTTTCTTCTTTCAATGTAAAAAATTGATTGCATTTGCCAAGTAATGTGCCATTAAGGCTGCCAGACTGACAGCCACTACTGTACTTTTTGATGACGACCTCTGAAAGTAGGTGTTAACATTCAGAGCCATCTCACCCAGCATGGTGACCCTAAACCATAAAAAAGCATTGGACTCAATGTGTCAAATAGCTGTGATAAGCATTTGATTAGCAGTCCATAGGTTCTCAATTACTCTTCTATTACAAGTATTGGGCTGGACTAGATTATTACAGTTGATGGTATCAGAAAATGCAGAACAGCTGTCAACTGGAGACTGTCCCGGTGTTTCTGATAGAACACCGGCTCTGGGTTACATATACGTTTAATGACAGTTTTTTGATCATTTTAAAGTGGAATTCCAACATTGTTAATGGCAAACACACTTGAAACGTGTGCTTGTATGGAATTTCTCTGAAAGTGCCCATTTACACCCAAGGCACCAGGTTGCCCAGAAACATGTTTTTTTTCTTTACTTACTTACCACCCTTGCATTTTTTACTAGGCTGAAGAATGGGGACTGCAGAGCTTATCAGTCACATTGGCATTGGCACAAACCTAACCTTAGTTCTCCCGATCCCCCAACTGGTTCTATCACTCAGTATTGGGAGGATTGTAGTTGTTGAAATGCACCTCTAATTAAAATTCAGGGCATTTAAGCCCATCAATATGGTGCACATGAGAGCTGGGATGGTGTGCCCCTTTGGTGGAGGTGAGGCACATTTGAGGGTCATTGCATCATGGACACCACTGCTGAGATCATTGAGAACAAGGTATTTCTTGATGAGGTAGTTTGGCATCATAGAAATAGTATAGTGGTGTTCCTCCAAAGCAATGTATTGTGGAGACAGCCACCCCCCCCTCCCCCCCCCCTTTTGCAGTTAATCTCAGGTAGTCGTGGTGCCTTCATTAAGAACAGTAGACCCCATTATACACACTGTACATGGTAATCTGAGTGTCTACTTTTTGTTTTTGAAAACTTGTGAGGCTGTTAAATAATAGTCTGAATTACTAGTACACACCCATACAAATTCTTTGACCGCTATTCTTAACAGTCCCATGCTGTGATTAATAGCGTATTCCCAATTTTAATACTCTCTGCAAGGATCAGCTATCAGTGGGCTATTGATGGCTGCCAGATTACCAACAATAGTGACTGATCGGCTCCCATGCTGCAGGATCACCCTGGGCACAAATCACACTCTATAGTTGCCAGATCACTCACAGTTATTTGCAGTTTTATTAAAAGGGCACTATAATCACAAATCCCTGCATGTGACTTACACAGCCTTCCTAAACACTTACTGTAAAGAGTCATCTAATGTTTACACTTTTTCTATTGCAAATTCAGTTTTATTTAGAATTTCTTAGCTCCTGTTCTACTAATAGCTTTCTGTATCCTGCAGGAGCCTCCTGTATGCAATTAAAGTTAAATTTACAGAGCAGGAGATACAGACTTTAAAAGTAAGTTACATCTGATTGAAAATGAAACATTTTGTTTTCATGCAGTCTGTGTCAGTCACAACCAAGGGAGGTGTAGCCAGGGCTGCATAAAGAGAAACAAAAGTAATTTAACTCGTAAATGGAAGTGAATTGAGTAGTGAAATTGCAGAGGCATGATCTACACACTAAAATCGCTTCATTAAACTAAAGTTGTTTTGGTGACTATAGTGTCCCTTTAAAGTTAGCTAAGGTTACAAACAGCATTACATTTGACATTGGTCAGTATGGTGACATAGTATGTATCATTTAACCCCTTAAGGACCAAACTTCTGGAATAAAAGGGAATCATGACATGTCACGTGTCCTTAAAGGACCACTCTAGGCACCCAGACCACTTCAGCTTAATGAATTGGTCTGGGTGCCAAGTCCCTCTAGGATTAACCCTTTTTTTTTTTTTATAAACATAGCATTTTCAGAGAAACTGCTATGTTTACACTGAGGGTTAATCCAGCCTCTAAAGCCTCTAGTGGCTGTCTCATTGACAGCCGCTAGAGGCGTTTGCGTGCTTCTCACTGTGACGCCAGCGTCCATAGGAAAGCATTATGAATGCTTTCCTATGCGACTGGCTGAATGCGCGCGCAGCTCCCGCGCATTCAGCCGAGGAGGAGGAGAGCTCCCAGCCCAGCGCTGGAGCCCGGCAGGAGGGGGACCCTGAGGGTGGGGGCACTATAGTGGTCCTTTAAGGGGTTAAAGTAATCATTTTAAGGGACACCGTAGCACCCAGATCACTTCATCTCATTGAAGTTGTATTGGTGCAGTGTCCCTGTCACCTTAGCCCTGCAATGTAAAATATTGAAGTTTTAGGGAAACTACAATGTTTAGATTGCATGGTTAAAGTTGCCACTAATGGTGCTTCCTGCATTTACACAGAGTTTAACTCCAAGAAACAACACTGGACATCATCAGGCTTCTTATGAGGATGTCCAGCGTTTTTTAAATCCCCATAGGAAAGCATTTAAAAAAAAAAGAAAAAATTTTGAAAGCACCAACAAATTCCGTAGTGCTGTACAATAGGTGGACTAAAACAAGTATTTATAACCAGGCAAGTTGGACGCACAGGAACAGAGGGATTGAGGGCCATGCTCCTTGTGCTTACATGCTAGAGGGAGTGGGGTATAGTGACACAAAAGGTAAGGGTATGGTAGAAAAGTAGGTTGCTAGGATAGTATTCATTGAGGGCTTCATGTTTTGTTTTGATGAAAGTTTCACGAGAGGATTCAGGGAAGGAAAGCTGTTCACAGTTTAATTAATATGCTTTCCTGAAGAAGTTTTCAAAGATTTTTTGAAGGAGTGGAGATGATAGGGTGATGATAGAGTCTAACAGAGAGGGGAAGGGAGTTCCTTAGGAGCTCTAGAGAAGTCTTAAAGCGATCATCAGAGGTAGGTGTACAAACAGAGGTTAGACGTAGGTCTCCGGCAGAGTGTAGGGGCCTACATGGGACATATTTGTGTATTAGTGAGGATAAGTAGGTCGGAGCAGCATTGTGTAGAGATTTTTAAGCAAGTATCAGGATCTTAAATGGAGTCTTATATATTACAGAAAGCCAGTGTTGGGACTGACAGAGGGGGGAAGCGTGGGAGCACAAGAAGATGCCACATTCATTATAGACTTAATGGGCCATATTGGGAACACGTAAGACCACTGAGAAGCGGAATTACAGTAGTCAACGCGAGAGAGGATAGCGACATGGACAAGCACCTTTACCGATCAGGAGTTAAATTGGGTAGGATGGGCACAATGCTTTTTGTTAATGTTAATTTTTTTTATTAATTCTTTATTTTTGTAGTGCGTAAGCGTATAACAGTTGCTTGTGAGGTACCCTAAAGGCAATCCTCTAGCACAGTACGAACAGTTGAATATAGAGCAGGGGTTCTCAATGTTAGTCCTGAGGACCCCCTACCAGTCCAGGGTTTAGGGATTACCTGGGTGTGTCTAAGGTGTTTAGAAAAAAACAAAAAAAACACCTTAGAGTCCAAGGTGTTTTTTTCCCTTTTTCTAAACACCTGAGAGACACCCAGGTAATCCCCAAATCCTGGACTGGTAGGGGGTCCTGAGGACTGGGTTGAGAACCCCTGATATAGAGGTACAGGGTAGAACAAGCACATTTTTATATGTAAGGATAGAAACAGTATAGCTTTACTTTGTGTAGGCTTTTGCTTAACATAACAGAGTGATCTCGCTTAATTTCCTAAACAGGTGATTGTTTTGCTGTGTCAAGAGCAATTCAAGCTGCGAGCGGATTACCACATGTTTTAGAGCAATTCTGGGGCACAATGTTTTTAAGATGGAAACGCTAGATTTGGCAAACGATTGGACATGAGGGCTGGAGAGGTAAGAGTTAAAGGCAGAGAGCCTTATAGGTAGAGCAGATGGTAGCGCCATTGACTTGGAGGGAAACAGACAATGGAGTAGCAACACTTGAGGGAGGGAAGACCATTGAGTCAATGCTTTCCAATGGGGAAGAACTAATGCGTGCACAGTGCTCGCCGCGTATGGCCTGACTGATGTTTGAGGAACTCGGCACAGGAATCAGGTAAATGTTGAAAGGGCTATTTAACCCTTTTGTGAATAAATGGGGGGTTGGGAGGTGGTTGTTAGATTGGGGAGGCAGAAGGACACAAATTTTGTATTCCTAACATTAAAGTGTTCCTTTAATGCATTATGCAAAATACGGTATAAACATTGCAGATTAGGAAGGAGTGGCAGGAGAAAAGAACCCAGAGTATGAAAAAGATTCCCCTTTTTATACATTCCTATGTAGGTTACATCAGTTTACTCCGAATTAGCATTTACCAGTACAACTCAATGATTAGCAAAGCATGCTACAGTCACCGTATTTCCTTACTGATCCCATCACTCATGCAACTATTCTTCGGATCACAGTTTGGAATATCTGGTGCATAGATCTGATGCAACCAACTGAGATTTAATTCTGTGATTCAATAGGGAATACTTCCATTTCAATCCAGTCTAGCTGCAATGGTCATTCTTTTAGTTGTTTTACCTGGTAAGGAAACATTGTAACACATTTTCCATCTGTGCTGCATTCACAAGTGCATTAAGGGGCTGAAATATTCATTAAAGGATCACTACAGTGTCAGGAAAGCAAGCTCTTTTTCCTGACACTCTATCATCCTTAGGCCCCACTCAGGGTCCCCCTCCCTTGGCACTGAAGGGGTTAAAACCCCTTCAGTTACCTTAATCCAGCTCCGCACTCCCTCGGCGCTGGTGACCTCTCCTCCACCGCCGTCAGCTCCCGGGTGGAGCGGAATGGATTTTCGCATCCAGCGTCGCAGAAGCGCCTCTAGCGGGTTTCAGGAAGACAGCCATTAAAGGTTTACAGAAACCGCTATGTTTACATCGGAGGTGTTAAAACCTGGGGTCCTGGCACCCAGACCACTTCATTGAGGAGAGGTCTGGGTGACTATAGAGTCCTTTTAACCAGTTTAAAATGCTAATAAAGACTTTTTGGGGGGGTTTTTTTTGTTTTGTTTTTTTACACTTACAAATACAGAGTTATTCATGAAAGAGTGTATTTTAGAAAGAGGAAGTTCAATGTGAATTTAAAATATTAGACCAATTCCTTGATTCTCTAGTACAGTCCAACATCTGTATCAAGACAAACCAAGCTCTAATTTATGTTTGTTTGAAACACACCAGCAACTCTGCAAAATGTAAACTATAAAACATGTAGCAATCAGAAATATAAGATTCAACTTCATTAGGCAGGGAAAAACCTTTTAATCGAATAGATTTCAGTTGTTTGGAAGTACATTCCCTTTATAGTTGTTTACAACACAATGATAATCTTACATTTATTAGTCAATTTATTAGTCAAAATGAATTTTAGAAACCATTTGTGTCTCTTATTAATAAATCACCTGACATGTTTTTGTTTCCTGAATGTGTTTTGGTGAATCCTGTCTAACTGGTCACTCATAATTCTGAGGTAGCACAGTCAGCCAGCAACGTGTGGCAGCAGACTGGAAGCTCTTTCTCTGATAAAACATACTAGGTTAACTGCAATAAACAGGTGGTGATGGAAACACCAATAAGGCACATGGCTGGAAATTCCACAGGAAGATTTGAAACCGCAAATAAATCTATTATGTATAAAAAACAAAAATTGCTTGAGATGAAAAGTACATCAATTTTTCTTTTTCATTACAGCATTCAATGCTTTCTGAGCTTCGCTGATCTGCTGTTGCAGTCTTTCCTTTGTGCCTTTATTCGTAGCTTTCTTGAGCGTTTCCTTCATGTCAGCAATAGCAGCTCTGTATCCAGCTGTGTTATGGAACAAACGTATAGCACGGTCTCCAGTAGAAACCAAGAACCTGTTGCATGTATCAAAAGCTAGATCTGTGATGACTTCTCCGTGCACGGAATGGAATTCTTCCTCCACATCACCTGTTAGTGCATTGTACACTGTAATATCAGAGATACTTGAAATGGCAATGACACGACCATCTGGAGATAATGCAATGCGGCATGGTTCATTTCCGGACCAGCTTCCTGTGTGCAAGAGATACGGGTCTTGCTGTTTCTTGTATTCTACATCAGTATTCCACAGTTTCCACGTCCCATCTTTAGATACTGTCGCCATCCTGTGGAGAGATGATGATATTGCAAAATATTCACGTTTCAAAGCTTTTATTGAGTAAAACAAATAACATTATGTGTGATGCAGAGAAGTGCAATATTTAGATTGGACACGCAGGTCCTAAAAGCAATGCACTCACAGCTTACAGAATAGTCAACAGTACAAGCTTTCAACAAAGCAGAGGAAATATTAGCAGTGTACTTGTTATAATTAAATTATAGGTAAGTGAACAGTAGAAGCATCTTACGACTTTGGGTATGTGGAGTGCCTGTTGATCGCCTTTTTTTTGTTTTTGTTTGTTTTTGCGGACATAGAGATACCTGCTTGCCTATCTGGGCAGGAGGCAAGCGTATGTGCATAGGAAAGTAAAGGACAGGGGGTGTAGTCAAAGAGGGATAGGATAAGAAGGGGGATATTGCAAAATATTGACATTGATAAGCAAAGGTTTCTAATATTATACACATTTAAAACAAGTCCTGCATTGTTGAGATCATGAATCCGTAGATAAATAACTGTAATCATCATCCTTATTATTATAAGGTTATTTGTTTACTCCTTGATGCCTATTTATTGGAATTACATTTGGCAGTCTTTTGCCAAATGTTTACCTGTTGTTGGTTCAAGGGAAGTTGACAGTCTGTGAGAAATATAGCAAAACTGCTATACATACAGTATCAGTACAAGAGTATTAAAAATTCAAAACAGATTTGCATCATAAAAAGTTCCCTCTGTACAAAAAATGAAGGGATATAATGAATGAATATTTGGCACAACTAGTGTAATAGAAATCGTTGCAAGCTATCTTTTTTAATAGCCATAATGGTCCAGGAAAAACAGAGGATTTTCTGTGTCTGTGGTGGAAATTACTACACCAGAAAAGTGGTAGCAAATGATATAAACTTTTTTTTCCCATGCTGGCAGAACTAAAAGAAAATTCCACCTTGCTCTCCTCCAAAACCTTAAAAGGCTTTCCAACATAAACATGGAATTTGAACACTGAATATTTGCAACTGTACTATAAGCACCATAACTAGTACATCTCATTGTAGTGGTTGTGGTACAAAAAGAGTCTTTGGTTTCTGTCCTAACACTTAGACCAGGCTTCCCCATCCGGCCCTCCAGATGTTGCTGAACTAAAACTCCCATGATTCTATGAATGAAATAAATAGGCTGAGAATCATGGGAGTTTTAGTTCAGCAACATCTGGAGGGCCGGAGTTTGAGGAAGCCTAAGTTAGACAATAACCGGGGCTCTCCAGACACCAAAACCAGAAATTCCACATTTGGTAGCTACCGTAGTATATCAATTTAAGTAAGGGGTTTCTTGTGGAACATTACCTGGCTAGGAGACAATGCCTTTGAAAAAGTGCAGCTCATATGAAACAATGCTGAAAAGGTCACTTACCTTCGAGAGTCATTCGAGAAAGCAAATCCACACACACCAGCAGAATGTCCCTTTAAATCAAAAGCTCGGCATACTTCACGGAATTCTCCAGACTTCCCAAAACAGACCTCCCACACTTTCACATCAGGAGTAAATCCGCAGCTTGCCACAAACCTATTGTATGCAAGAAGAGAACATGATATCATAAAAGCACTGCATGAAATCATTACATACAGTTTTAAATCAACTGTCACCAAAGATAATCTGCTTCTATATAACTACTTCTGTCTTACTCTCTACTACTTCTTATGAATAGCAGTTGTGAAAGGAAAGAAAATTATAAACAGTCAAGTTGACAAAACTTGACAATGGGAAAAGTTTAAAGAGACATTATAGTTATCAGAACCAGTACAGATTAATGTAGTGGTTATGGTGTCTAAAACCTGTCCCTGCAGGCTAGTAAACATGTCCCATTGCTGCCTAGTGATACCTCTAATAGCCGTCATTCAAGCTGCCACTAGAGATGCCTCCCTTTTCAGTGCTGCACAGTTCAGCATTCAATGCATTTCTATGAGGAGAAGCGGATTGACGCAGCACAGTGTTTCCTATAGGAAAGCATTGGCTTGGCAGATATTATCAAGACTGATCATCTCAGCCATAGAGGCAGAGCCAGACGGGGTCAGCCGCGGCAAGTCTGATGCAGCATAAGAGAAAATGGGAGTAAAAACACTTTTTGGTGGGGACCAAAATAGTTAACACTATAGTGTCAGGAATACATGTTTGTATTCCAGACACTATAGTGTCCTTTAAAGCAAGATTTAAAAGAACAGGAATACCAAACACTCAACTTTCAATAGAGCAGATTTAGTGGACCACATTGCAACGTATTGCCTCAAACAGTGGAGACTTTATCAGGTGTTAGAGCCGAATCACTGCACTGTGGTGTAAAACTCTGCACTATTGAACTTCACTTAGCAGTAATAATGACCAGTTAACAAATACACGAAATAAATCATTTTATTCACATGTTCTCTGAAAACAACTTGTTCAGGTATAAAGAGCAGAGTTGTATAAATACCGCTTAAAGGATCACTAGTGTCAGGAAAACAAAGCGGTTTTCCTGACACTATAGTGCCCTGAGGGTGCCCCCACCCACAGGGTCCCCCCTTCAGTTACTTACTTTAAACCAGCGCTGGGTTCCCTTGGCGCTGGTGACATCTCCTCCCCGTCCGACATCAGTGGAGCCGAATGCGCATGCGCAACAAGTGCCGCGAGCGCATTCAAAGTGTCTATAGGAAAGCATTTCTCAATGCTTTCCTATGGACACTCTGCGCGATGGATGCGAAATTCGCATCCAGGGTCGCAGATGCGTCTCTAGCGGCTGTCCAGAAGACAGCCACTAGAGGCTGGATTAACCCCAAATGTAAACATAGCAGTTTCCCTGAAACTGCTATGTTTACATCTGAAGGGTTTAAACCTGAGGGACATTGCACCCAGACCACTTCATTGAGCTGAAGTGGTCTGGGTGACTATAGTGTCCCTTTAAGGATCCACTGCCCTACTTCCTCCAGAGGACACACAACAACCAGGAAAGCTGCTTCACCCCTCCTATCATCCTACATTCACGTTGGTAAAGTTTCATATAAAGAGTAAAATTCCCTAGATGCCATTGGTGCCATAAGCTGAACTGAAAATATTTAGGTGCACAGATTGAAATAGTTTAACGTTTTCAGTATTTTTCTCTAAGTCTAAGATTGCCAAGTTTAGACTATAGGGTTGACAAGTTCTTCTCACCTGCCACAGGGTGATACTGCAGCATATGCATTATTCATCTGGTTTGTATTGATTGTTGCCAACACTGCACCTTTCCGATCCAAAACCATTATGGTGGTGTCACTTGAGGCAGTCATCATAAACTTTCCTACAAGACAAACAGGATTAGCAAGTATTCTATAAAGACCTATAACATGCAAGCAAGCCTGCTGTAGTGGTTATGGTGCCAGGAGTGCCTTGGCACCATTCCATGGTTCGATATCAAACCATTTTGGTCTGGTTTGACAACCTATTGGGTCTCACGGTATGCCAATGCCTCAGGCTCTACATCCAGGAAAGTTGTCAAAAACATGATAGAAAAAGGTTAAATATATTACAGTAGAATGGCGCCATAACCACTACAGGAGACTGTAGAGTTCCTTTAAAATAGAAGTTCATATTGTAGATAAGCTATGAGTTGAAAAATATCTCCACTTCATAAGTGCAGTAGATTCCCTCGCCCATGTTTATTAATAAAAAGCTTCGCTCATGAGTATTTCACAAACACTGATAGCAAAGATTGGTTCTTTGCATTGATAGTGGTTTACAGTGATCACAGTTTCCTCCTCAACGCACAGCATTTCATACTTAAACAGTAAATTGTAATTAAGAAAAAATG